TTACTAATCGTAGTTACAACTGTCTGTCGAGTGTTCATTAATAAAGTTGTTGAAACTCACTAGAGTTGTGATTTTCTTTAATGAGCTTTTTTCAATTAACCTCAACAAAAATATTCCCTTGCATTTGTTTCATTCTTATGAATTACATTGGTTGGTAATTCGTTACACGCGGACAATGCTACTACATGTACATAATTTTTTACACAATGGTGTATGCAAGTCAAATGGAATGGGGGTTGCACTTAAATTAAATAACTATCTTCGAGATCTTTTATTCAACTTAGGAATCGTTAAATGGCAGGCAAGAAAGCTGCAAGACAGAGGGTGGCATCCAAGATGGTTCCGGAAGGATGAGGAAGGTTGTTATCGGTACTTAGGTGGATATTGGGAGGCCCGAGAGAAACATAACTGGGAGGGTATACCCGATATATTCAGACAGCCTACCGAGGAATAAATCTGCTTTTCAGGTTCATAATACTTTATTCATTTCCACTGTATTACATAGTTGAAGGAAAATGATCCGAAATTTGAATTATGTTTTTATCCTATGGTATATGTTTTTGACTTGTGTAAATTTTGATTGCAACACACACAATGTCGAAAACGGTGTCGGGACAATTTTACTATGCCCCATTTTTATCGAAAAAGTTAGTAATATGAACTATTAGTCGAAATATTTCAGATTTATTAGTATCTTGATAGCAAATTACATGATCTACTTTTACTCGATGCCCGCTTTTTATTCCCTCAAACTAACACAAATTACATGATTTTCTTCCCACACTCAGAGCTCGTCTTTTGGTGGTAGTGGCTGAGGGTTATCAGCCGATGACTTGATCGGATAAGAGGCCTCCATAGCTATCCCACACAATCCTTCCTTTGCATCCACACCACGTTGAAACCTAATGTAGCCTTTTTCTCCCCATTGAGTCCCCCAAGAATTTTTAACCGTCCAATATTTAGTCCCATCCAAAGTTTCTCCATATCCCACAACAGCCACCCCATGATCGAGCTCCGTGCCACAGTCTCCGGTGAAAACCCCCTGAAAAATCAAGAAACTCGATTTTTTTAGAACCCTTAAAAAATCTTAAAAATCTCCGGTTCTTATGCTTCAGTCTTAGTAAGTTTTCGTTCGTTACCTCTCCCTTATGTAAGGTTTTGGATTAATTAATAATTACATGCATACCTCTGAGTAAAACTGCATATCAGAGCCACTAGCATCGATGGCTACAGATACAGGCTGGTTAGCAACAGCTTTCATTAGTGCACTCTCATCATTTGCTGGCACATTTTCATACCCGTCGATCTTCACCACTGGCGCATTCAGCTAAGTCGAGCAAAAGAAAGAAAGAAAAAGATAAATCTCAGCTGATTCTTAGAAATAAAAAGAGGTGATGTTTTTTCTTTCTTTCTTTTTTAATACCTTGGCTGCATCACAGTTCATATCTTGAGCTTTGTATGGATATACAGTCTCGGTCGTGATGCCGCCTTTATTTTTTATGAACTCGTATGCATTCTCCATGAGTCCTCCATTGCAGCCCTCGTTATCCTTCTCACAGTCGACCAGTTCTTGCTCGGATAGAGGCACTAATTTACCGGTTTTGATCTTATTAATCCCCTCGACTCCCACCACAGTTGAGAANTTATCATTCAGTTCATCAGTTCGTAAATTTCCCGTGTAATTCATAAAACAAAAGGGAAAAAAAAATTACCACAATTTCCTTGATCCTTGATGCTAGTGACAGCCCCTTGCTGTCTCCAATCAACTGAGGCTGGCAAGTTATCGACTTTCTCGTGCATGAAAGTCGTGCTAGCCTTGGGCCCACGAAACATACGATGGTGTTTGATTTTCGAGCTGTAAAAGTTTCTAAATTCGTTGTTAGTCATATCGGCAAATCGGTTGAGCTTCAGTTTGTAAGGCCGATCCATCTGGTTCACCTTGTGAATGTGGTGCACGTTTGATTTGAACACGTTAAAACGGGTTTTTTTCTCAGCTAGATCGCGTGTAACTGTATGGTGGCTCCTCCATCTTTCGTACAAACCCCACAGGCTCTCGTCCGAAGCCAAGTCTTTTTCGGTGAATTCGATGCTTGTAGCAAGGCCAAATATCATAGCAAGGAAAATGGAAGCTAGAAAAAACTTTATCTCCATAGTAGCTATCAAGAATTTGATGGTGTTTTGGAGTGTTATTTTTTTTTTCTTTTTTACACTTTGTGATCTTTGGATTTAGTTATATAGGCGTATGGATAAACCAACTGCTTCAATTTGATTTCATATTGGGTGTAACTTTATGTGAGGAAATTATGAAAAAAAGTGGCTTTATTGAGGATAAATGCTATCTTTTGAGGTGAGTTTTGTACTGGCATATGCATTCTTCTAAGTTTGATGATATGCAGAAGTATGGTGAACATGCCAACCATGCTGTGTTTGTTTTGAATTTTTGGCAGAAAGTGACAATTGCTTTTATTTTTTCCAATTTATTTCATAAAGTGTACCTGATTTTTTTTTTTTATTTTTTTGTTTCATCTTTTCTATTTGCTAGCAAGAATCTGTATGAATAAAATCTGTATGGAATTTCAATTGTAACCTTTGTGAATTTTCTCAAGGCCAAATCAAAATGTGAGTTATTGCTAGCAATAATCTAATGGACTAAAAATCTTGGCTAACAATTAAAAATAAAATAAAATAAATAACAACTAAAAACACCAATACTTTTCTGAAAAAATCTGTTACAATTGTTACAGAACAAAATTATGATATTGCCTGCACCACATAACATTGAATTTTTGAGGAATGTCTTTTATGGTTCCTGTATATTTCCCTTTCAATTTTTCTTTTTGGGTTGTATTTGTTTCGATTTTGGCACATTTATAACTGATTTTCATCCTTATTGTGATGATGACAAATTCATACACTATTTAAAGCATGTAACTGACTAAGGCCATCATATCTGCCAATTCCATTTTCTCACCTTTATTTCATACCAAAACAACCTTATCATTATCATTTACAGAAACAATGTTCATACCAGTTTTTTTTTATTTAATTAATCAAGTAATCTACTAAACCCAATAAAGAATAATTGTATTATTATAACATTTTTTTGTTTATCGATCGCTACAACTTATATTCGGCAACTAGGCTAAGCCTCAAGGGTGCTTCTGTAACTAATGCAGGAACCATAATCACACAAGTTAATCGTAAACGTGAAGTTAGTTGTTTTCTAGACTGAAAACGGATAAATCATGATAAATCATCAATGGCAAATGGCATTATTCATCATGTTAAATAGCACATAAACTGTAAGCCCAAATCTGCCTATCCCAACAAAACGGGTCAAGAGAGTGCAAAACAACTCACACCAAGTTACATACTTCATGCAAATTCGGACGAGCAAGATGGCTACATTTCAAAAGGAAAGGAAAAGAAAGGCAAGCCATTGAAAAATACAATTTGAGTTTCTTGATAAATCAGGCGAGTGAATCCCTCTCCTTTTGTTGCTGATAAAGTTCCTCTCTCATTCTCTTTATCTCAGCTTCTTTCTCCATTCTCTCCTTCTGCAAGTTGCAACAACCACAGGATGGGGCAAAAACAAGTCAATGTTTAATCACAAAACACATCCTCAGATGTTTGGTCTAATTTACCCAAAAAAAAAAACACAGATGTCTTTCCAAATTACAGATACACCCTTGGGAGTTGTTTCCATTTTCAAATTGTACCATCAAGAGAAGCATATATGTTAAGCAAATACATACGATTAAGACACAAGTGGGTAATCGTAAATTTTTTATACGATAAAATACACATAACCAAGCCAACAATAATGTGTAATTTTTGTAGACTAGTTAGTTATTCCCTGAATTAATGGTTCACAAACACACACACACTTCACTCGTACCAAACACACTCGCACACACACGCAATGTTCCATAAATCATCACACCAGTAGGACCAAAGATCACTACAAATACAGGTACATAATCAAGATGCTAATTCAACAGACCGAAAACCCAAAATCAACACTAGCCAAGCAGCATTTGCAAATCCCTAGTGAACTATCATCAAACATTTCATAAATCCCATTCCAAGATCAAAACTTTAAGCATCTAAAGTTGTTTACACTGAGTACAATCACAAAATTTCCTTATTTGAGACCTTGAAAAACAAAATTTCAAACATGAATACTAAATGAGGCCGATTCCTCTTGGTGGTTCGACCCAGAAGTCCATAAACATGAAAAAGATAACAGAGCAAAATGTCTCAATTCTTCTTCTCATATGTTCAGCTAGGGAATTGGTGCTGACCAGCAGCAGGAACTACATATTTATTGAACTCAAAACAAAAAGAGTGGAAATGCAGTTAAGGCTCAACCCCATGTAAAGCTCGTTTAGTTAACGAGTCAAGCCCAGCTCGCCTCGTTAAGGGTCGAGAATAGAGGCTTTTACTTAATTTTCTGCATTTTTACCTTAGCTCAGCTCATTAAGGCTTGAGTTTGGCCCGTTAAAGCTTGAGTTTGGCTAGTTAATATCGATAACCGAGCCGAGGTCAAGCTCATTCATCGGCTAGTGCAGTTAACGAGTCGAACAACTAAAACAGTTCATATCACCTAGAAAGATCAACACACTAGAAAATCCAATAAAGCTCCAAAATTTCCCCACTTATTTGGTGCCAAAGGAAAAAGGAAACAGATAAATCATAGGGGAAAAAAAAAGAATCCTACAACAAGATTAGTCCTGGTACAGCCAAATCAAACAAACATACGCACAAAAAATTGCTTGCACAAAACCCGATCTAGATAACACCAAAATATCTCATTGAGAACCAAAATTGAACCCATTAAATCTCATAAACTCATAAGGGCTTCACGATTTTAGCTACATTCAAATCGGAATCAACCGCATTTACACACCAAAGGACGGCGCAAATACCTTTTCATCCTGGTGAAGAGCGATCCAGACATGGACTTTGTCCATGGTTTGCCAGAAGAGGAACGCGCCAAAAGACATAGCGAAGAAGGTCCCGACTTTCACCATCTTCAAAATCGTTAACAGTGCGAAATGTACGATCTTCTTCTTGCTGCTTGGATTGAAGCTCCAAATGACTCGTAATCGGTTCTGTTAATGGCTCGCCATTTTGTGCAGATGATTTTATGCGAACGACGTAGTTTGATATCAGCCACTGGAACCGACGCCGTTTTGGGTTTGTTACCAAACAACATCTAGTATTTGTTTAAAGAAAAAGTTATTTGTACACTTATTTTTACAACATTCAATGACAACATAATGTGACGTAATGTGGGTGGTTGAGGTGCAAATAAATGTATGGTTAAAATTTGAGTTAATGATACTAAATTGAAAAGAAAAAAAGAAACGTATATATTATTTACAAATAAAAAATACTGTTACTGTCCACCATGTAAATTTCTCTAAGACTAGTATTTGATCATGTGCACATGCACATGAATTTAAATTATCACAACTTATAAGTTACGTGTATGTATATAATTGTAAAATTATAAGTTAAATAATAGTATCACATTTTAAAAATTTTGTCGTTAGTAAAAATGAGCATCATAAAAGTATCCAAATTCATTACTATATTCTTATATAAAATAAAATGAATAACTATTTTTCATTAAATTCAACTAATATTGTGTACAATCTTGCATGAAAAAAATGAATTTGAATGAGCTGGTGTAAAGATCACTATTACATAAGATAACTTTCTTTATATATATTTTGCGTTGTATCTATAGCATATCAATACTAATACTTCTTTTGCATGTGAAAAGTCAACATATAAATTAAAAAAAAATATTTTTAACCGTTCAAATTTAAGGGTTTAAACATTATCTCATAGCTATTCAAATTTAAAAGTTTAAACATTATCTCGTAACCATGCAACAGTTACATTCTCCAAATATAGATAAATAAAAAATGGTGCAACCATTACAAATTCAAAATATAGTAAAAAAAATAGGTGGATGATTGTATGAAATAAATTAAAATACAAAAAAATATGTTGTAACAGTTTTTGAATGCAGGTCATAAAATTTTTTATTAAATGCAACTTATTTTTATTAAATGAACTCATATTATTATTAATTGAAGCTGAATAAAATAAATGAAGCTTGCCAACAATTATATATATATATATAGATTTAAGACCTTGCAAAGTCATATATACCACATACACAAGGCCACAGATCAAAACTTAGTAAGAAGTTAAAGAACCAAAATTACATTGAATTGTTCATTCAAAAGATTTTGGTTAAATATACAAATGAATAAATTATAAATATGGAACAAAATCTAAAAGCATTGGTTTTTAAATACCAAAAACAATTATCATGATGGAATCAAAACAAAATAATTGGAGATAACATCAACTCTTAAACTATGTTATTTTATGGCATAAACATGTATTTTTGTCAAAAAAAAAAAACGAGATTAAAATCACATGACACAAAATTTTGTTCCCAACTAAACAATAAAAATCTTTGAAACAAAAGGGAAAGCGAACCACACTAAAAAGTAGAAGCTGATTGAGCGATCATACTAAATTACTAGAATTCTCTCATGTGAGCGCAGGATTTTCTCTTCGTTGAGAGTAGGATTTTCTCTTCTTTGAGAGTTCGAGTTTATGTGTTTTCGTTTCCTTCCTGAGTTTTTCAGAGTTCCCTTGTCCATTTGATTACCTAGGGTTTGCTGTTGATCTACAATTGGGGTCTGATGGAGTCCGAGTCGACGAAGGACACCGATTCAGCGCGGTTAACAGAGGAGATTGGGAATAGACTGAAGAATATCGAGTTATCAGGGTTGGAGAATGGGGTGGTTGAGTTGGAAGTGGATGATATCAAAACAAGCGCAGAGGAATGTGATAGGAGTCTTTTTGGAAAGATCATAGGAGACAGAAAGGCCAATCTTCTGGGTATTAGGAGGACCATGGGATCGATTTGGAAGGTTAAGCACCCGGTGAAGGTAAGAGAACTGAGTTATAACTTTTTTCAGTTTATATTCGGCAGTCAGGAGGATAAAAAGAAAGTAGCAGCTGGGGTTAACTGGGTTTTTGATAATCAGTATTTGGTGCTGTTAGAATGGATGGAAGGGCTTAGTGCGGAACATAAGGGGTTTAGTGAATTGAACTTGTGG